CTTTGGTCAGATCAATTTCCTCAACAGTGTCATTGTTGACCTTCAGCGGAAAAATGAGGAGTTGAAGATTAAGCTGAAGAAGCTGGTTTTGTCTGAATTTAATGGAAATGACGAGGCAGAGGGGTGTGTATACAGTTGTATGTGCCCAAGACACATTTTCTCAAACAGCAGTTTGTATATCAATGTTTTTCATGCTGCTGGATGTTTTAAATATTGTGAATTCAATCTTGATCATAAAAAATATTGCAAATCTTAAAACAGAAACTGAATCTTGAAACTATGCAGCTTCAAAGTAATTCCACAATTCTTTAAGCACAAATTTTGAGGACTAGAAGAAAAAAAAACAAGATAACAAAAACAATAATGGTTAACCACACAATTATCACTGAGGCATATTACTGTTTAATGTTTTAGATTTGATGCCGCTCCAAAGCGTGAGAAGAGGTCAACCCCACGTCTTTTCTGTGATATCTGTGACTGCTTCGACCTCCATGACACAGAGGACTGTCCCACTCAGGCCCAGAGCCCGGACTCTGTACCTCACACCACGTACCATGGAAACCCAGCCGACGAGAGGCCCTACTGTGACATCTGTGAGGCTTTTGGACACACCACCCAATCCTGCAATGATGACCAAACATTTTGATCACAATCACCCCTCTGCAGAGACCCCATATGTATTTTTTTACGGTATTTATGCATATCATTGTCAGTGACTCACCATCTTAATCCTGACTCTACCAAACTACTACACTCCAAGCATTAGCTCTTATCCAAAAACTGAATTGGTGCAATATTTGTGTTTTAAACAAAAGGGATCTATCCTCTGCACGTCATGTATCAATGTTTCCTTTGGATTTAACTGTCAGAAACAAGTAATGCTACATTTATTGTTTTCTGGGCTTTATTTTTTAAGATAAAAATAGTTATGCACATTTTGGGCACAAGGGAAATCAAACGCTTCAGACATTATCTAATGTACAGACTTATCATAGGTGAGATACTGCCAAGAAATAAAAGATTTTAATTCTTTAAAAAACTATTTTCTGTTTTTAGTTATTAGTGGAATATGACCACTGAACAAATTTACTTGTTTCATGTATTGTCAAATTGGCAATTACACTAGCTGCTAATTAGCTTAAGCACATTTCATGGTAAATACACTTTTCAGCTATTTATTATTTATTTGTTCTTACTAACCAGTAACAGAAGAATAAGCTAGAAGTGTGTTTTAATGTAAAGTAGCCACACAGAAACTTTCCAAGCTCAACTAAAGCAGGGGTCTCTAACTGGTTGCTCTCTTCTAAGTAGATAAAATTTTATTCGTCACATTCCATTTTAAAGCTACTATCCGTAACTTGATATTCCTTCACCAGTAGATGGTGAACCAGTCCCCCCTCCCATCACCTGGCCTTTGTTCAGGCCCACCTGTGCTCTGTTCCTCTTCTGTTGGGCCAGAGATGGCCTCTAGTGGTTATATGTGAGAATACGACGGGTGGGCCAGCCAGTCTGATTACAGATGGCTAACTTTTTTTTTTTTATTGCGACTGAGTTAAAGTGTAGCTCCCCTTTTCGTTTCATAAAAGTAGCCCTCAATGTAGTCCCCAAAGGTTGGGGATCCCTGAACTAAAGCCTGGAACATGGTATTGCACTGCCCACTTTAACAATATCTTCTTTAGAAACACTCAGTGCTTTAATCAATTCTAGATAAAGAAAAATTATTTTATCTGAAGTCAGTGCACATTAATATTGCATTGTATTGCAAGTTATTTCCTAAGCACAATATTGAATCATATTGAATCCTTCCATGTATGTATGTAACTCTTAACACTGCAACATGTAAATAGTAATTAAAGCATATTTTGATTAACTTTGACACCATGCCATAGAGATAAAACTGCTCTTGTTCTAATGACATTGTACTTTAAGAGTCAATTTATACTGACATTAAAATGTTTGTGTAATGTTTTATATGCAACATCTAATTACCATTTGATGCAGACGTGTTTTAAATGTCATTGTTTTGTATGTTATCCTAAATTGTTCAATAAAGTTCAAATTATATATCTGACTAACTACTTTAAATACACAAAGGCAAATAACTTCCTATTTCAGATACTTCTCCCTGGTAGACAACATACAAAATAAATTTACATTAGGCTCTTTTGGTGAATTTTATTAAGAAAACATACAATCAGACATGATAAAAAACAAGCACTATTGATGGAATAAATAAGTCAAACCAAACCATGAATCTGTACAAGATCCAACTGAGACAAAATGGTCCCAAGAAAACAAAAGATTTTATATCTCACAGCTCTTAACGCACATTTATGAGCAAACTAGCTATTAGCTCAATCAGGTGAACGCTACAACTTAAGTGAGATTCTTAAACTGAGTGTACATAATGCGGTCTATAACTGTTAATGTCAATACATAGCATTTTAAGTGCCAGCACTGCTGGACTGAGAATGAGGTATATGCTAGTCCATCCTCTAAACCAAAGCGGTTATCTTTTTAGTTCTTTTCTCTCCATCCATGTCAATGCAGATTTTCTAAGATCCCATCAAGAGGTTGTACAGCTTCAAACTTCAAGTAATTAGCTCTTTAATGTCAATGACAACTCCACAAAACAAGATCCTATTAACATGTATGTATAGATTCAGTCAGTAGACAGCACCTTAAGGAGGGTGATTTCTAAAGTTTGACCTAAAAGACTGGATGCTCAAGTGAACAACAGACAGGTTTGGTCACTTGGAGGTAAGTCGTGCTACACAGAACACTTTCAGTGATCTGTGAGATCTAAGGTGGATTGGTCATAATACACGGCAACAGTTTCAGGTCAGTTTTTACTTAAAAGAAAAGTAAAAATGCTGCTTTGAGTAGAAAATCATGAATTTAGAGGGTGGTTAAGTGATTAATGACCAATAGTGTTTACTCTTCAAAGCTTCTTAAACATTAAAAAACAAGTGCAGTTGTATCATGAGTATTGTGTACAATTACCTAAAGGATTCAGATTATAAGGCAAAAAACATGGCACCAAAATGTAATGCATCAACCTGTTTGACCAAAGACGTATTTCTTCAGAGCAACTCAAGGCACAACTGTAGGACCTAGTCTATCTATGCCTGACATTACCATTTATCCAATATGTTGTGACCAGAGCTGTCCATCTCCCTACAAGCCCCAAAGTCATTAAATGTGAATGGGGAAATATTCCATGGATAGAGAAAAAAGACATCCACTACAGCAGCAAAATTTGTCTGTGATCGATTGCGACTTTCCGTAACAGTGCATTACCCTCCTGTGGAGATAATTAGAAAAAAAAACTTTACAACTCATAAATAGACATTGAACTTTAGGCCAACAGGAGGCAAATTGAGAGAATTGTTGGAGTCACATCATCTCCAGGGTTACCCACAAACACAGATCTGAGACCTGGCTAGCCATGTGAATATCCTGAGCTAAGCCATTAGCATCAAAAACAGTCTCAGGGCAGTGGTACGTGTCACCCATGTCCTAAAGTCATTGATGCAGTCAGCAGTGTGGGATCCCCAGTGTGAAAGTCTTTATATTCGCAGGTGCAGGTCATGTGGGTCTGTGGAGCCTGGGCTAGTATTCTGAGCTTCTCTTGGCATTAGTGAATTGTATGACAAAAGGACTGGATGGAGGCACAGAGGGGAACAGCAAGAAGAGGTAATATCCATTCTCCCTCTGTGGCTGAGGAGTGTCAAATCGTAATTGGAAGGAGTGATGTCCTCAGATGAATTTGGGTTAAACGGGGAAAACAAAAAAAGACAGTGAGGAGAGCCGTAGTGTCCATTAGCCCTAAAATTACCTTGGGTTAATGGAAGGAGGTACAGAGGAGGATCAAGACCAGCCCAAAATTTAACTATCTTCATAGTCTTGGGATGAGGAATCCAGTTTGGTTTTCTTGCTGGGTGGTGTCTCATCGTCTAGGTCCTAAAAAAAAACAAAAGAGCACAAATTTTAACTTTCAATAACAGTAACAGCTGCCACCTTCTGACATGTAACTCTTATCATTAACAGTATCAGCAAGTGAAATCCATAATGAATCCATGAAACCAAGGTGCTACAGAGAAGAGCATTTTCCTGGATAAACAATTGATAGACTAATTCTTTTCCAGATAATACAAAATTGTATGACTAAACTTTTACTTCATGAAAAAAATATTCATGTTCAAGCTCTATCATCAACAACTTAAGGGCACAGTTGCAGTTATTTACCTGAGTGGCTTTGCTGTCGGAGGAATCCTTTTCCCCCAAGGACAAACTGTCCCTTTTAGCACTTTGTGCTCTGTCTGAGGTGTCTGAGATGGTCTTACCTGAAAATAAAATAGGAATTCTTGCATTATGCATAATGGAAATGTCTTCTAAACAAGCTATGTCTTTGCTGACACTTTGTGGAACGCTGATGTAAATACATGTGTGGAAAAAAATTACAGAAATTTTAGTTAGAAAGGCAACAATCCAAGAACCAAGTACATCATTTTTGTTCAGTGATTAAGAATTATACCAACTACTTTTAAGATACCATATGTAAACAGTATAAGCTCTTCTTTGTGGCTTGACTTAATTATATTGCTAATCTACATATGTCATACCTGGAAGTAAAAAAAAACCAAAACATTAATTTACTGAATCTGTACGGTGTGAACTGACCCCTCTTGCTCTCAGGGCTCTGGCCATTTTTAACCTCTCCGTTGTCCCGATGAGACATGATAGTGGACTCTGGGGCAGGGCTGGTGCTACAACTGTTTTCCTGTTTCACTGGGGATGAGTCAGCAATAGAGCTCTGGTTGCTGTTGTCATCTAAACACAATCACCAATTATAGCATATGTGCTGATATACCTTTAGGTGACCGTTATATAGGTGCACCCACCATGCATGTCCATCATGCCAGGAGACGAGCTGTTCTCTGGAGTTGTCAACTCCGAGCCATATTTCTCATCTTTACCCTTTTTTTTGTTTTTATTTTTCTAAAACAGAGAACATAAGTATTGAGATATGTAATGTCAACAATGCATTATATGCATGAATATCCTTCCGGATAATAAAGTATCTTGACAAGATTGAGAGGTAGCACATACATCATCAGATTTGGGCTCTGTCACAGGTACCCACTTATAGATACGAAGAGATGTATCTCCTACTGTCACCCATTTCTTTTCCCTGGAACAAACAAGATAATAATTGTATTAGTCAATTGTGTACAGATGCACAGAAATATCAGACATCACAAATCTTCTAGGAATAGAGTCAAGTGAAAATAGATCTAAAAAACAGGTCTGACTTAAGTGTATGACTTAACTCAAAAAAAATATATATTCTTAATTGTAAAATAGGTAGGCTAATTACATTTTGGGACCAACTTGTACATATGTAGCCTTGTACTGTATCCTTTCAATAAAACAACAAACTTTTCTTTGTTTTTAAATTAGGTCAAGGCAAAACAAACAGCCCATAAAGTAAACTCGAGAAATTGTACTAAGTCATCCTTATACATTCACTCAAAGAGCGTCAGTGTTGTCAAACATTTAAAAGTGTTTTATTGTTAAGCGTAAAAGACAGTACGTGTTCAGCCATGCACTACAATATTCACTTCCCTCTCCCAACCCCCACCGCCTAGTCTCTTTGAATTACATCGAAAGGACGGCTCAAAGCGCTTCATTTGAAACTCAGGCGGACCATACTTCTCCCACTCCAGAGCGCCCTCATCAAATTGTTTAAAACTCAGGAGTTAGTGGACGTTTCAGCGCGCCTTCGAGCTCCAAACCAGCCGCTGTCTTTGAGCTGAACAGGCACAGCAATGGCTTCATGTGACTGCATCGAAATGGCTTCTGGGTTGAACCCTGTCCACTGAAATCTACAATAAACCCGGTGTGTGAGCTGGATATACGGCGTTATCTGGCAGATATCCCCTGTACGCTCAGTGCACCTGAGCCGCAAGTACATCTGCCGTAAATCGCATGAAATGCCCTTTCTTTAAATTCATCGCTCTCCTTCACGCTCCTTCCCTCTCCTCCCCCAACAAGCAAGCCCTCTCGTGTTAGATCAGCCTGTTTTTTTCTCTTTTCTTACCATTTTCGTACTTTCTCGATAGCTGCCATAACCCTCTTGATGTCATCCTTCGCCCTGCTCCGGGTCTCAGCTCGCACTGACCTGCCCGACATTGCCGCGGTGGGTATAATATTTTTAAAGCTCGCCGGCAGTTCAGACACAATGCAAACAGTAGAGCGCACAGAGCAGTCAGTGCGCATGTGCAAGAGGAGGAGGGGGGGCGCCTGGCTGCTCCTGCATGAGGGGGGAGAGGGGTCTCCCCGCTGCGTATGTGCTGCTGTGGACTGGAAGAACAAAGAGCTGCAATAGAGTTACACTGTTGTCCGCTCTTCTGTCAGTTAACACAAACTATGTGCAGCAACTGTGAAGTCTCACTGCTAGATTCTTTAAAAGTTTGTCGCTTTCTAAATTCCGGAGAGGAGGCAAAACTGAAATGGAACATTATGTGATTTCAATGGAGAAAGTGGGATTAGCCACAGAATATGAAAAAATCCATGAGAGTGAGCTCTGTTGAAAGACAATGAATGCATTCAACTTTATTTGTTTAATAGGAGATAACTTACAGTATTAGCTATTACAAGAGTAATACTTACATAAACGTTGACTCCACAATATTTTTTTTATCTACATTTAAGCTCAATTACAATTTTAAGGCTAGAAAATTGCTGCCTATTTATTTTTCACCCGGTTCATTAAAGAATCCAACTTGGGATTTCTACCATAGAATGCTATGTCTGTTGTACAGTCATAGCACTTTAAAGTGTTTCAGCTTCACGCGATATTTTGAGGAATTTTCACTATTCAAAAGATTGAATCATTTGTTTTAAATTGTTAAATGCCATGGTCATAATTCTAATTTGTCATCATTCTGAAATCCATGAGTATTACATTACACATGTCCTCAATGGACTTAAACAAAATATGTTCAGCTTGGATCTGATTTTTATTCACTAAGGCCTATGCAAATAATTAATATCTATGATAGGTCCATAAGTTATGCGATAGTTAGCGTTGTAGATGGGACAGACTGCCCTCTTGTGGAAGCTCTCATAATTGCAAACAGAATTGAGGATAGATCTTCCTTTTAAATATACATACATTTATACATAGGTTATATATTTTTATGATCTCATATTAAAAAATAAGTCTTCAAAGAATGATCAAAAATCATAGACTGTTATGTGTAAAAACAACCCTTTAATAGATCGATCAGCTGAACCTTGGCGTCGCCTCTGTATGACGGCTTGTGTAACGTCATCAATGTCCGACATATAGCAGCAGTTTGATAAAACGACAAGAGATGTATGTCTGTGCCACACATATATCTGATTTAATAGTATAGTGTAATGCTGTATTTGGTGTGCTGTAATTTTATTTCGTATCATTATTATTCCAGTTGAGCTACCCATACTTATCTGGATATAAACATCCTGTGCAATCACATTTCCAAATTACATCACATCTACAGGATGACTGAAGAAGGTGAGCCTACTTATTGTTCTTTTACTGGCGTGTCAAGTTTACTATTAAATGTGTGTGTGGCCTCTCTTAGAGTTGGTGGAGTATTTCAAAGCACAAATGCTGAAAGACCCAGATATGGCCTCAGCAGTAGCTGCCATTCGGACCCTGCTGGAGTTTCTTAAGCGTGATCAAGGTGCGTTAATTTCGCCTCGTTTCGTTCTGTTGTAACAAGCACTTTAATTTCGTGTACCAATGTATCTGCAGGTGAAACCATTTTGGGATTAAGGGAGAGCCTGACATCTGCTACAGACTGCCTGACAGGAGTGGACTCCTCCGTGGCTGTGTCATCTGGAGGAGAGCTCTTTCTGCGCTTCATAAGCCTTACATCACTAGAGCACCAGGTTAGACCAAGACAAAATAACCCTACGGGCGCTAGAAACCAATGTAGTAATTGACAATGTAAAGTTGAGGTAGTGGTGTCCACTTTGTATTAATGTAATGCTATATTCTAAAGGTTATACGGGAAAAAGTTAATATTTCTATGCTTTATCAGGATCTCTCAAGATGTAAGAAAGTCATGGAGGAGAGAGGGGAACTTTTTTTAGAGAAGATCTCCATGTCCAGAGCAAAGGTTGCTAAGCTCTGTCACACATTCATCAAAGATGGTGCAGTAAGTAAACTTTAGAACCTGTTGTGTTTTCCTGTCTTATAAAATTCAATTAAGATGAGTAACTGATGAAAGTGTTGTGTCTTGTGCTTCTTTAACAGAAAATTCTCACTCACTCCTACTCAAGAGTGGTGCTTAGAGTATTAGAGAAAGCTGTAGCTGAGAAGAAACGCTTCTCTGTGTATGTCACTGAATCGCAGCCTGATGCAGCTGGGTAAGTTAATAAGGGATAGAATTCATTTTTTTTGAAAAGTGTTTACATTTATTCTCTTATCAGACTACAGATGGCAGAAGCACTAAGAAAGCTCAACGTTCCAGTTACCGTTGTTCTGGATGCTGCAGTTGGGTAAGGTATATTGTAAGAAAATAATTATGCAATTGAACTTGAGCATTAATTTATTACATTGCTTTTTTTTTTTTATAGATATGTACTCGAGAAGGTAGATCTTGTCATTGTTGGTGCAGAAGGTGTCGTTGAAAGTGGAGGAATAATCAACAAGGTATTTCATATCAGACTATTTATATATCCACACAGTGAGTTACATTTAATTTTTTTTGTAGATTGGCACTTATCAGACAGCATTGTGTTCTAAAGCCCACAACAAGCCCTTCTATGTTGTGGCAGAGAGTTTCAAATTTGTTCGTCTTTATCCACTGAATCAGCAGGATGTTCCGGATAAATTTAAGGTATGAATTAATTGAAACATGACCTTTGTTTGAATGTTTTATAATACTTTCTTTCTTCAACAGTACAAAGCAGATACGCTCAAGTCTGTACGAAATCTGTCTGAGGAGCATCCAATGATTGACTACACCCCTCCTTCCCTCATTACTCTTCTATTCACCGACCTTGGAGTGCTTACGCCATCTGCAGTCAGTGACGAACTAATTAAGCTGTATTTATAACAATGTCATTGGTTTTTCAAATAAAATCATACAAATGTCTGCATTTTGGGTGAGTTTGTGGTAATTTAGTTATCATCGTATGAGCTGCCACTTGACTGTACTGTTTGGCATTTTGATCGTGATCCACCAGTTAGCTGCTTCTCAAAGTCCTCTTCAGTAATTTGTTTTTTTTTCAGTTTTTTCAAAAGGCGTGTGTCATTTAAAAGTTCATTCATTTCTTCTTCATCTACATCAGAACCCTGTAGAGAAAGTTGAAAACATTAGTATTTAATCCTTAGTGTTCAATTTAATTAAGTATATTAAAAACAATACCTCATCATGCTTCCTCTTGGCTGCCCTATTTTTCCTGCGCTCCTTCTTGTTTTTCTGTTTTGACCATGCTTGGTGTTTAACAAAGCCTTTATTACCTGGACATGTCTTCAATTGGTTCTTTTGCTCTTCCAACATCTTCTGTCTCTGTTTTTCTCTATTCTTATCTTTGTATTTAATAGTATCTATATCTCTATCTGTTTCAATGAAGTCAGGAAAGGTTTTGCCTCTCAACTCTGGCATCTTGGGTAAACAAAGAAGTGCAAAACCACGAGCTAAGGATGCAAAGTCTAGATCTGGAATAAACATACATTCAGCGCATATCTATGAACAAACATTTTAATATGCAGCAGTACCTTTAACTCTGAAGATGAGACTGCATTCATGCTTGGAATAAGCCTGAACATAAGAGACAAAGGCCCTCATGCCTCGTTCAAACATAGCACGATCTGCTAAAGCCATGGCCTTCACTTTTGGAAGCACATCGACAACATCATTTATAACAGACATCTTCTGTAAGGGACACTGCAGAAGAAAAAAAATATTATTTATTACGTATTTTCATTTCATTTGGACCAACAGACACAACTTTAATAGAAGTTCATGTGTCAAAAGATGCAAGTTAAGTATCATACTTTTTGGTTGATTGATAGGAAATTGACATAGGACTCCTCCATTGGTAGAAGAAAGACAAGTGCACTGCCCTGGTTTCCAATCCGTGCTGTGCGTCCACACCGATGTACAAAAGCACTAGGATCAAGATAGGTAGGTGACAATACATTAATAGTAACATTCTTGAGTGAAGTTTTAATACAATACCTGGCACTGCTGGGTGGGTCATACTGAATCACCCAGTTCACATCTGGGATGTCAATTCCTCTTGCCATGACATCTGTGCAGACCAGGATCCCACTGACCGGCCAAGGTTTAATAGGAGTTTAAAATTTAAGCAGCCCTTACTATTATTAACAAATGCACTTACCTTTTCAAAGTCCGAAAGTTGGCGAAGATCTTATTACGTTTGTTTTTCATTTTCCCATGGATACACTGGACATTGACCTTTTTAATGAGAGTCTCTAATGCTCGACTGTAGTAATCCACACAGGCACAAGTGCTGAGGAAATCATTATAATAAGATCAACATTAAATGTAATATTTTCATTGCAATTAATGAGAAAAAATTTACCTAAAGAAAACCAGATTCTTTTCATGTTTGTGTTGCCTGAGGAAAGCCACCAGATTATTGAATTTATCTTCTGGCCTACTGACCTGAAAAACCATAATAAAGCAGGGTTTCAACATTCACATCGTGATAAGGATTGGTCTTGTCTATCTAAAACCATTAACTTACAGTATAGAAGTTGTCTAGTCTTGAGGGAGTTTTCTGCATGTGCGAGTCCGCTACACCCTTTTCCTTTACGGTGATACGAACAGGGTTTCTGAGACCTGCTCTTACCAGCTTTTCCAGCTCCTGTGTCTGAGTGGCTGAAAACAAGCCAGTGCGCCGTTGTTTGGGTAAGTAGCTAAGAATAGTGTTCAGACTGTCAGACACAAAAAATATTAGTTATAAAAGTAAGACAAAGAAAAACATTTTGCAGATATACAGAATACTTTAAATGCCATAGTTGAGTGATATTAAGAGTGAGCAGAAAAAAATAATTTAAAGCGTCTTCGAGTGTCCTGAAAAGCGCTATATAAATAAAATGTATTATTATTGTTCATTGTACAGAAAAACCCATTTCTCACACTGCATTTGAAATTAACTTTTAAATCTTTGAATAAATGTCAGTTGGAATGGAGAGGTTTCAAATTGTAAATTTAAGACAAAGATGAAACCAATGATACACACGTAAAACTTAAATAACTATGTATAAAATAAAGTTGTTGGTTTTTTACCTAGCCTCAAACCCCATGTCTAGTAGCCGATCAGCCTCATCAAGTACTAGGACATCAAGGCTTTTGACATAACTCGCCATGTCAAGCCCTTCGCCCTTCCTCCTGAACATGTCCTCCAGACGCCCCGGTGTTGCAACCACTATGTTTGCCCTGTTATAAGAAATTGTTGTTATTGTTCTGTTGTTAGCAAAATGTGGTTAAAATATGACAAGATTGTAGCCATGATAAAAGCAGTCCAACATCAAAAGCATATGGATATTTGTCATGTTTTTTGTCACTATAGGAATCAATAGACATGACATGGAGGCAGCTATTTATGTCTACCTTTATTCATCAGTGTGGGGTATTAAATATAATATGGCACTTGTGATCAGGTATTTCAAGCCATATCAATGTCATGAGAATTATAGACTCACTGTTCTATATAAGAACACCGGTATTATTTTGAATGAAAACCTTAAAAACCTTTCACTACAACACCTGCTTGCAAGTTATTTAGCATTTCAGACAAAGTACTTTTGATGTATGACTGCTATTATTTGTAACAACATGGTACCCTTGTGCTTTAAATTTCTCTACATCTTCTATGGGGTTAGTACCACCGATGAGCAACATCTGCCTGGAAAAACAAGACAGTCAATAGACAAGTCACAAACACAAACAGTGTGTAAGTAAGACTTACGTAAACTGGGGAAACCTCTTGAGGAATGTCTCCACTACTTCACTGATCTGAAGAGCTAATTCTCTTGTGGGGGTAATGACAAGAGCACCAACCTGATAACAAATGTTACATTACAAATTGTTCACTGACTAAATGTCACACATTGCATTTTATTGAGCTGTTAAATAAAATGAAAACTATATTATCACCAAAGCAAACCAACGCCTTGCTTTTAGTCCCACACTTTACCAGGTCACCCTACAGACATGTTCAACATTGTTGGTACCCCTCTGGTAATGAAAGAAAAATCAGCAATGGTCACTGAAATAACTTGAAACTAAGAAAAGTATATAAATAATAATAATAATAATAAATTTAAAAAATACAAAAATAACCATTGAAAATCAGACACTGTTTTTGAATTGTTGTTCAAAAGAATAATTTTAAAAAACAAACTAATGAAATTGGCCTGGACAAAAATGATGGTACCTCTAGAAAAGACTGTAAATAATTGGACACTAGGTACATGTTAAACTTAGGTGTGTCCTCTAATTGGCTTCACAGATGTCTTCAAACTTGTACTTGTGTCAGTCTACCTGTTTATAGGATGACATGTTGTCATTGTGCTGTTTGGAGACATGATGGAGACAACACTGAACATGGACCAGAGAAAGCGAAAAAGAGAACTGTGTCAGGAGACTAGAAAGAAAATGATAGACAAGCAGGTTAAAGATGGAGACAATAAGACCATCTCCAAGCAGTTTGATGTTCCTGTGATTACAGTTGCACATGTTATTCAGAAGTCTAAAGGTCCACAGGACTGTAGCCAACCTCCCTGGATGTAGCTGCAAGAGGAAATTTTACAACAAATTGAAAGAGATGGATCATGCGAATGGTAACCAAAGAGCCCAAAATAACCTCGAAAGAAATGAAATGTGAACTTGAAGGGCAAGGTACATCAGTGTCAGATCGCACCATCTGTCACTGTTTATGCCAAAGTGAAAGAACAAAACATTGGACTGTTCTGGAGTGGTCTTCTGTGAGCCCAGTTCACAGTCCTACTGAACATCTGTAAAGTTAGCTGAAACATGATGTCTGGAGAAGGAACCTTCAAAGGTGAGACAACTAGAGTAGTTTGCTCATGAGAAGTGGGTCGAAATATCTGTTGACCAGTGTAGAAGTCTCACTGACAGTTGCAAAAATTATTTGATTGCAGAGACTGCCTCAAAACGTTGTGCAAGAAAATATTAAGTTATGGGTACCACCATTTTTGCCCAGGCCAGTTTTATTTTGTTTTTTCTAATGATTCTGTTGAACCACAGGAGAAAAGCAATGTTTGAACTACGTAGGACCATTTTCAGTAAGTTTTTATTAATAGTAGTTTTTATTAGTTTCAAGTATTTTCAGTGATGATTGTTGATTGATTTTTCTTTCATTAACAGGAGTACCAACAATTTTGAACACGTCTGTAAAAGCACACAAACCAGATCTAGATTTAAAGACAAAACCAAACACGTACTTGCATCTTCTTCAACTTTTCTTCTCGCTTAAGCAGCAGCTCTATCAAGGGAATGACAAAAGAAAGTGTTTTTCCACTTCCAGTCACCTAAAAAAATAGATACAGGTAAAATAGACGCATCGAAAAATATATGCATATTCTACTGGACTTACAGCTTCAGCTGCGACATCTTTGTTTCCTAAGAACAGAGGTATGCACGCAGACTACGACAAATAGTTTTATATAATTAAAGCTGTTGCATGGGATCTTCTGCCGTGTATTCATGGGCGCGAGTACCTACCTGTACAGGAGTCATGTGTGTAAATCCGAGTTCCTTAAGTGTCTGTAAAATGTTGTCATCGAGTTTTACAGGTAAACTATCCCATGTCCCGTCCGTTACGTTTGCCATTATAAGCCGTTTGTTAGAGGTAAACTAAAAAACGTGTTCACGCCTTTCATCCGAATGTGTACTGGTGTTTACAATCCGACACAAAACGAGAAACGTCGATAGTTCCTAGTGGAAACGTTCCGTAAATCGGAATGAATGCAACTTTTGCTGAGACTTAATTTCATTTTAGAGTAAAACGTCATATGGATGTTAAGCATTTATTTTTATTGCCAAGTCTAACATTGTAATTACATAAGCCTATAAAAACCAAACCAGAATCTGAATAGTTTTCATTCTCCTAACTACTGAAACAAACACAAACTGTGTCAACAGCGGCACTATTAAAAAACGACACTAAACCTATATCGCCTTGTATAAACATGGTCGTGTGTTGAGAGTAGTCGAAGGGGCCAATGGCGTTGATTGGCAGCCTTGCGTCGGTCTATCCCATGGCAGTTATTGCTGCAGTAACTTAGCGACGCAGAATGTGGAGTGAATGACTAATGCACTGTAAAAGCGCTTTGGGTATCCTGAAAGGTGCTATGTTTATTTAAAAAAAAATAACAAAACAAAACATTTACTTGCATTTTATGACAGAACAATGAAAGAATGCAATAATTATATAATATTGTCTTTATTATGAAACATGGGGCATTTTCCACAACCATTTGTCATTTATACAGATCAGTTTATTGGACTATTTTAGTCACAGAAGATCCTGTGACTTGAGCAGGTAAACAACTCAGACTCGACATTGTTAATACAAAACTGGAGCATATTTAATGATATGTATTTTACTGAAAAATGGACGATCACTTTTTGAGAATGTCACACACAAAAAATGTTTACATGTCACTAAACATACTCCAGAAACAATTTAAAATGTGTACAACAACATAATTTAAAATTCCCAAACCCAACTAAATAACTCCAATATAAGCAATTAAAGCACACAGCAGTCATTAGGAATCCTTCCCCACCAACCCGTCCTGAACAATCAACATGTAACATTTCAGCACCACTCCACAGTTATTAAAAACCCTTAGTTTCAATCCAGCGCTGGTTCATTTGCTTGAATCCTACTGTTTGGACGCAGGCAGGATAGTTGAAAATATAATTTGTCATGTAACTCAACAATTTATTTCTGAACAACTAAGTGTCATCCTAAATAGATTGCTATAGCAAAAGTAAGAATTAAGGAAAGAAAGAATAAAGATAAAAAGAAGAAAAGAAAATTTTTACAATTTACCTGAAAAACACCTTCAAATCATCAGATACATTTATCAGGAGTGCAGTTAATCTTCCATGTGCAGGTTGAACAATATAACCTGTACATTGTTCTGTGTGGTTGAGAATCAAGAAAATAAAACCCACATGTAACTGAATAATGGGTTTAAAACAGTGGAAACTTTATATAACGGCTTGTATCTAAAATAAATTTTGTCCGTCATCACAAACTGAACTGGCAATAACTCTGAACTGTATTAAATAAAGGGACTTTGTTAAGGAAAAAGAAAACGCAATTTTGGCTCTTTGTTTAACATTAGAAACAAACAAAAAAAGATGATAGTCAACTCAAAATATATTTAAAAAAAAAATGCAGCATTCACTGAAACAGCCAGTCTTGCTTTGCAAAGTGAAGATAATAATCTTGATGTTGGGACACAGTGGGGACAAAGAGGCAACTTTCATTTCATTACACCACTCGTCGAACTTCAAAAAATCTCTTTAGATAGTAAATCTGTCCAAGCGTCATTGCCACTAGAACAAGTGCTTCAAAGAAGGACCACAGTACCACTCTGCTGTTTGTGTTGTCATTGACTAGAAAAAAAGATCACAATAATGCATTAAACACATAATAAACCATAAACAATGAAAACATCAATGCGACTTACTTGCTCTGTGTATCCTCTCACGGACCTCCATGTACTCCTGCTCATGCTTTACAGCTGTCATAGCAACAGCCAACTCGTTGATCATCTCCTCCAGCTTGTTTTGGTGAGCTGACAGCAAAGTCAATAGGTTAATCTCAAGTACAAAAAAAACAAACAAAAAACAAAACAAAACTTAAAAACATGCATTATGTGTTGAACACATAATCAGGTGCAATACATGTCCAGTTCAGGGTTTTCAAACCAGTGTTGCTTAGTTATGTTAAAACACAACATTTCAACTTTGTTAGACCAAGAAAGCAATAATGCTAGTTAACCAAAACGCAACAGTCCATTACAAGCTCTAAACTCTACGTCATAACATCGGGCTGTATACCCCTACCATCCCAGCTGTCACCACCTACAAGGAATAAGAGTGCCCATAGGGAAGTCAAGAAATTGAGATAAGAAGAAAATTTTGTTGCATATATTCCTCAAAATCCCATTCATACCCTCTGTCTCCATGTCCTGGCCTTTAGGAGCTTCTCCGATGTCAATGGTGAACATGACAATCTTTGGAGTCATGGTGGACATCTTGTTGCTAAAGCAAAACTTGTAGGTCCCATCCATGTGTGCTGCCACAGAGTATTTCCCACTTGACTCTCTGTCTCCTTTATAGATCTGTTTACCATCTGGCCCCGTTATCTGAAAGTGACATTTGAATATGTTTTATTCACTTTTCTCAAATGTACATGCCACACTAATAAATAAAGTAACAGTAATAGAAAAAGCATTTAGACACAATCAATCTTAAAGATGATTTGATAAAGATTTAACAGAATATAAAAATATAAAAAATTAACAATGCAATTTAAGGAACTATTTCTGCCCTAACCAAGCAAACATATGGTAGCCTTAATATTGTCAACAACCATATATTATTCTAATACTATTATTTTAGATCAATTTACTAAATATGACATTAGCTATTAACTAATACAATTGTACACCTTTCACTTCCTGCACCAGTAAATAACTGGATACGGTTTAATAGAAGGCTAAATGTTTGAAGGCAACTTTCAAAATATGTAATTATAGTATTGTTTTGTATAAGACACTACTACAATATTTGCACTTTCTAAACTACTTCTAGCATTAAGATGATGATATATTTAGTAAATGGTGCGCAGACAGCTGGTGGCTAAGCTAATATTAGCAAAGGCCTTAAGAAGCACAGGTTAATATGTCATACATTGCAATTGTTAAATATTTTAATAATGTAATTAAAACTCTTACCTCAACATCGATATCTAGAAAGCCTCCTTCAGCTACTTCAAACATTAGGCCCATTTTTGTGCCGGAGTTAACACGCTCGTAGAAACACTCTTCGGCATGGGCGTCTATGCTAACAAAGTAGCCCGACGCAGTTGCACATAGGACGGTCAGTAAAATGCACACTTCTGACACAGTAAACATGATTAATGCGTGGCAAGTTTCTTTACAATGAAAATATAGTTTTAAACGTATCTGTGCCGCGATGGATCCTGCAGACTGGCAGGTTACAAGTTGGTGTGTCTAAGTAAATGCTGAGCAGCTTCTGATCCGTGCTGCTCTGTGGCTATGCCACGTACAGGATAAACGGCAGTCTGGGAGGGACAAAAAGGAGACTACGCTCAATGGCACCAGACATGGCAAAACTTTCTTTCAATTTATTACATAAATAAGCGCATACCCAACATAAAAAATAGTTACATTAAGTGAAAGTTTATGACAGTAGTATACATTATTGTTATTGGAACAAAGAAAAAAAATAGAAAAGACTGATAGGCTAATGCTATTGTATTGAATTTCCATTTAAGAAAAATTTAAATAAACAATCGAGCACAACTGTCACATAAACAGGGAATATTAATCGCAGACTGTATAAGTGAAGTATTACTTGGATTAAAAACACTTGAGAGCATGCGCACAATGGAAGTCAAAGGCCTGTTTAATTCCCATTCCCTGGTTTGCCGCAGGCTTGAGGTCGGTTGAACTCCGTGGATTTTAACATTAGTGGATTTCAGCGGTCGTCGCTGGTGTAAATATCCAAGCCATCTGTGTTTTGTCGCATGTTTGGTGACGTCCAATAATCGACTCGCTCTGAAGTCTCCAGGGCCGAGGCCTTGAGACTTTTTGCAGTGTATGCTATTACATTTTTTTCTCTCGATGCGTTCCTTTTGACCCGTTTAGCTCGGGTATGAACTGATGAAGCACTTTAAGCTGTGATCGAAACTGAAAGGGTTGGATCTAGCAAACAGCTAACGAAACTAGCTGAAGCCCGTAGTAAAGCCAGCGAGGAAGTGAGCAGTAAAATGACATCTCGGAGGTAAGTAGGAGACAGTATACTGTGAAATAAACGCTGATAATGTTAGCTGGTCGAGCTAACCAACTTTTCTCTACTGCTGGAAACCAAAAGGTTTTGACTATCAAAAACACAACCACCCAGTGCTGTGGCTATAAAGATACGGCTATTTTAACCAGACCAAAACAATGCTCTGTTTAATACCTTCCAAGAAACCAATAAATGTAATCACTGAAGTGTATCTTTGTTGAAAGTTGTTTTTATAAACCGTTGTTAATGAAAGAGCAGCTGAACTCTACAGGACCATAAGTGATTTAGCCTATGGTTCCACACACTAGTCTCTGGAAGACATAAAAACAACCGCCTTTTATGTTTTAAGTTTAAATCAATTCGAAGAGTCAAAGCTTTTAAAGTACATCGTGTATACTGTACAGAGATCTGACCTTTAACATGGTATTTAACAAGCATGTTGTTTTTTTTGTATGTTAGGTGGTTTCACCCAAACATCACAGGTGTAGAAGCAGAGAATCTCCTGCTAACGAGAGGGGTCGACGGGAGTTTTTTAGCGAGACCCAGTAAAAGCAATCCGGGAGACTTCACCCTCTCTGTAAGGTAGGTATTTCTGTTTTTAATTCCAGTATCTGATCTCTAGATTACTCACTTTATTATTTAGTATTTGTTAAGATTTTTTTCATCACCATCTCTGGCATCATGTAATGGGTACACCATTTTCTTTTTTTCTGTGTTGTATTGCAGGCGAAATGGAGCAGTCACACACATTAAAATTCAGAATACTGGGGACTATTATGATCTCTATGGTGGGGAGAAATTTGCCACATTGGCTGAGCTTGTTCAGTACTATATGGAGCATCATGGGCAACTAAAGGAGAAAAATGGTGATGTTATTGAACTGAAATATCCACTTAATTGTGCTGATCCCACATCTGAAAGGTGAGTGATGAATCTATCCGTCTCTCTGTCTGTGCTGAATTATAAACTAGTTATGCATTTGACCTAGGTTACACTTTAAGGACATTTTTGTGTTTTGTGTATTGTATGCTTTGCAATATATAGATTTTTTTCAGCTGTTACACAATATTTATTATCTATGCATATTTAAATATGCTTATAATTATGTCTTCTGCCAGGTGGTTCCATGGACATCTTTCTGGTCGAGAGGCTGAAAAGCTTTTGACAGAAAAGGGAAAGAATGGCAGCTTCCTGGTGCGGGAGAGCCAAAGCCATCCTGGAGACTTTGTTTTGTCAGTGCGAACTGGAGATGACAAAACAGACACCAGTGACACCAGCAAACCCAAAGTCACTCATGTTATGATCCGCTGCCAGGTGAGCACAGTCTTCTAAAATAAAAGGTTTCTATGTGTGTTGAACTATTTTACTCACAGTATGTCTAAATGCTACAATTTCTTCTTTTAGCAAGACTTGAAGTATGATGTTGGAGGAGGTGAGAAGTTTGATTCTCTCACTGACTTGGTAGAGCACTACAAAAAGAACCCTATGGTGGAAACTTTGGGCACTGTGTTGCAACTAAAACAGGTACTGGAATTGTACTTATTTTAATGTTTCCAAGTATTTACAGTTTGATAACTGGACACATCTGTCAGAATGGTGTAAACTCTTTTTTTGCTTTCATTGTTGTAGCCTCTAAACACAACCCGTATTAATGCAGCAGAGATTGAAAGTCGTGTTAAAGAGCTCAGCAAACTAGCAGAGGCTACTGACAAAGTCAAACAAGGTTTTTGGGAAGAATTTGAGGTGAGGCTTCACAATATTGACGCAAAGAGTGATATTTGTCAATTATATTATTCTGATAAAATTCTCCTTGCTTTCTTCTAGACTTTGCAACAGCAAGAGTGCAAGCTGCTTTACAGTCGCAAAGAGGGTCAGAGACCAGAAAACAAAAACAAGAATAGATACAAGAACATTCTACCTTGTGAGTGAACAGAAGCTTACATGACTAATGTAACTTTCCAAGGATGTTTACAAAGCCATTTAACGTACTTGTATTTTTTTTAGTTGACCATACACGGGTGGTACTGAATGATGGAGACCCAAATGAGCCAGGTTCTGACTACATCAATGCCAATATTATTATGGTAAGTTTGAATTTTTCACAGAGCAATATAAGCTGGTCACACAAACAATTTGTTAATTAAGATCCAGTAAGTAATCAGTTTCTATAAATGTGTCTACAGCCAGAGCTGGACTCAAAGTCTAACACCACTAAAATGAAAAAGTGCTACATTGCCACTCAGGGCTGTTTGCAGAACACCATTAGTGATTTCTGGAGAATGGTGTTTCAAGAAAACTCTCGTGTTATTGTTATGACCACAAAAGAAGTTGAAAGAGGAAAGGTGAGTCTCAAGATAAAATGCATTTTTAAAAATATTCCTGTAATAAGAGTAACTGTTCATTATTACCAACAGAGTAAATGTGTGAAATACTGGCCAGAAATGTCTGCTCTCAAGGAATACGGAGCCATGCGTGTTCGTAACGTCAGAGAAACAGCTGCACATGACTACATTTTGAGAGAACTCAAACTGTCCAAAGTCGGGCAGGTAACAAAAACCCGTTTATAAACCAGTGTCTGTGGTGTCTCTAAATCCTATCAAGTAATGTTGCTGTATGCTTTCAGGGCAACACGGAGCGTACTGTTTGGCAGTATCATTTCAGGGCTTGGCCAGATCACGGAGTCCCCACTGACCCAGGTGGTGTTTTGGACTTTCTAGAGGAGGTCAACCTGAAACAAGAGAGCATAGTGGATGCTGGTCCTATAGCAGTGCACTGCAGGTACATGCACACTTGTAATAAACAAGTAACAGAAATCCTGTTTGTGTCAAGGGACTGTGCAAATCACAGATGTGTTTTGTGTGGAACAGTGCAGGAATTGGGAGAACGGGAACATTTATAGTGATTGACATACTCATAGATGTCATCAGAGAAAAGGGTAAGTTAGCTACAAATTCTAATGATTTATCTGGAGCATTCCCCCAGACTTTTGTCAAATTAAATCTTGAATAATGTTGATATTAAATTCCCGCCTGTTACAGGGGTAGATTGTGATATTGATGTTCCAAAAACTATCCAGATGGTCCGCTCACAGCGTTCAGGGATGGTACAGACTGAGGCTCAATACAGGTTCATTTATATGGCTGTACAACATTACATAGAAACATTACAGAGGCGCATAGAAGAGGAACAGGTCTGTAAGATAACCTTACATTAACAATTATTTTACTAAACTTTTTATATTTTACATTTTGATTAACATGTTTTTACATTTGCAGAAAAGTAAGATTAAAGGACGAGAGTACACCAACATTAAGTACTCTTTGTCTGATCTGTCTGGAGGAGAACAGAGCCCTTTACCCCCTTGCACTCCTATCCCAACACCCACTTGCACAGAGTTAGTCACCATAACATCATATACACAGAAATCTTTAGTAACATGTAATGGTTTAAAATCGCTGTTTGTTTTTTGCAGATTGAGGGAGGAAAGCTCCAGAGTGTATGAAAATGTTGGCTTGATGCAGCAGCAAAAGAGTTACAGATGAGATTTACATTTTATGCTGATGCTCTTTCAATTCCAGGTATATTATATTCTGTTCTCTTCATGTTATAATCTGGGTGGACAATGACAGTGTCACAAATTTTCACTGAATAGTTTGATTCCAACAGGTGCCCTGCGTTCAATGTGATTTTTATCTTTCTTTTAGGATCTTGATTGCAATTTTGCCAGCCACACCTAGAAGACATAGACTTGACCATAAAGACATACTGTATAGACAGGGTCAGGGACCTGTTGTCTCTCATTCCACGTAAGCATTAATCCTCAAATTGAATTTCAACCACTGTGACCATAAGAAATCACAATTTACTAGATGCCCTTGAACTACAGTCTGTCTATCCTTGAAAAACAAAGGGCTGCATACAGGGTGTGCTATGTGCAGGGGTAAACTTGACTTTTTGGTCATCTAATTTTTTGTTATTAACCAAAGGATTAATACAGATTGTTTATAGACTGAAGTGCAAACTTAATAAGAGGCATGTGCCAAAATGGAAATAATGTACTGATGATTCACAATTTTAGCCATTGATTCTCTATTAGGTCATGTAAGCCTTTAATATTGTATGAGACCATACGTATGGAGAATATTTCACAAATAATTGTCTAGTTTCATTTTATTATCTAAATGAAGTATTGGCATTGTATTACTTATTAATTGTAATTTGTAACCCACTCATCAATTCTATTTATTTTGCACAAGAACATTCTCAAAAAGACATGAGACTGTCATGTGAATTTACATCTGAAGGTGGATTTAATATATGGCATGGCTTTCATCAGGATAGACTAATTCTGTGATTGAACCATTCCTGATCTCAAGCCTAATGTCCTTACAGCTATAGATTACACTCTGCCGCATACATGTTAGCCAAGCCGTGACTTGGTGGATTTATTAAAATTCTTATCTGGACCTAAACAATCCAGTATTCAGGAGGAGAATCTATTTTATTGTTAATCCCCCTTTTTTATCTACTCATTAACTAGTACATACAATGCTGCCAAAACCAATTTTAAGTGCATAATTTCATTAGTTAAAGTTTTTTTTTTAACAATTGCGTTTTTATGTTCTAATGCCTGTAACTTTGGTTGAAGTAACTATCTCCCCAGCTTTAGCTGTGTAGATTAATACTGTGGGCCATGGGATGGCTTAACTCTTGTTTATGTACAGTACTCTTCATGCTATTAGAAGAATTGCTACTGTTGAGTTCACACTAAATGACTTCCTTTTACTAAAGTTGACACTTCGGCATTAGCAGCAGTATTTTGGGATCAGTTGTTCAGTCATGTGGCCTAAATATAATATTCTTTTCTTAAGCCTTTACGATTTATGGTCATTTGCTTGTTAACAGTATGCCTTAAGAAAGTGCAGTTTTGCAGAGTAGTGTAGATTTCTAAACCTGAAAAATAAAGCCATTCTGATCTTCACTGAGGATCCGCGACACTTGCAGTGAATGCAACCATCATCGGTCAAGGGTTGAACAGAACCATTTGTTAAACCAGTATTTATGACCTGTTTTCTTTCAAATGGTTATCCCTCTTGATGCGCACCTGTAGTAGAAAGATGGATTCGTACTTGTCTTTAGTGGCGTGTATTATGTCCTGTGTTGTCTTTGAGAGTGAGACTGATATTGGCCATACTTTCTTTCATTTTCACTAATAATTAAAACTGCCTATTTATCATTGTAAGCAACGCATAGATGTACCTTCTACGCACATGCCTTGGTGTATGTGAGTACTATACAAGAAACTGTAACACTTTAATGTGAAATATTTCATCATAACATTCTGAACAGAAAAAGGATAAATGGTTATCACAAAGCATACAAACTCTATTTTTTAATTTGTATATTGTACCTGAGAATTTAGAGATGAATGTACTTACTAAAACATATCTACTTGCCAATATACTGTATGTTTATTGCTACAGCTTTCTCTCTGTGACTCAGAGAAGACCTCTTACAAAGTTTTAGAGGTTTATTGTAATACTTTCAATGCTGTTAACCATGTTAACTCAAAAAACAATAAATGGCTTGCTCTTGCCTAAGTCAAAATGGTCTCATTTCAGTTGACCCTCATTAAATATTCATTATTAATGATACATAAACTTGGACCCCAACCGTGGACCACAAAAAACTTTACCAGAAAGAAACAATGATGACTACCTAGGGTTTCATTTTCATTTTATACTGCCCCACCAAAGCCGCTGTCACAGAAATATGCTTTCTTTAAAAGGTCTTGTGCACTCTCCTCGCTACTGGCTGATCCAGCTCATACAGAGACTTACTGTCATCTGACAGCCCTGAGGGACAGATTATCTGCACTTTACACATGGTTAGATGCCACACTTTTTCAAATACCACATGCAAATGTTTGGTCCGCTCAACGCCACATGATCATGACAAGCTATTTACTTTCTATAGGTTAGTTTCCATAAATTCTTGAACCTTTTCCTACTGTGCTTTTCATTCACATTGCTGTACTTTGTTACATTTGCCCTTTGACTCTCATTACATGTAAATATCTGTGATTCTGTTTTTTTCCACGCTTATGATCGATTCCCTGAAGTACCAGAAACTGAGCACCAGATGGAGACAGACAAGCAACAGAAAGACATGCAGCTTGCCATTGCAAACCTGTCCCCAGCATTGTTTATACCAGCGGGTATAAATGTTAAACTTAATGTTTTTTGACATGGTCACGGCAGACAAACACATATTCCACATCATGATACTTCAGGGATTATTTGTTCCAACTCTGATATTGGTTGATTTTTCTGTTTTCCGCTTTTTCATTCAACCCAACGATATTAATCACTCTCCAGTTGAAAATGTTAAATATGTTGTAAAACTAGTGCATCACTAAACTACATCATTTTAACATAGCACAAGATTATATGCCATGCTCACAAAGACAAATTTACTGTTTACATGAGGACTTCTACGTGAAAATGTGACATCAGTAATTAAATGAATAATTGTAAATTAGCGAAATAACCAGTACTTCTCAAAGTTATTTGAGAGTGGAATTTGTGAAGCGCCAAATGATCTTTGGCATTCCCCTCATAATAGTCTTCCCGTTTTAACATAACTGGCACCTTGACCTTTATGTTGCTACCTGTGCCCAAACTGGAACAAAGAGCAACCATTTTACCTCAGAGGCCAGAAGTTATTTTCTTAACTTCTCTGTACCAACTTAATAAGGGCAAACTTCTAATGGGAAGTTATTTGGGTCATGTTTTTTGGATTGTTATATATGATATCATTTAAAACAGCCTCTAGCCTTGTAGCGGGGGAATTAGAACTCCTCACTACAAGATGCTGTGTTGATTGGA